GTGATAATGAAACCAGAAAGGTGAAGGTGGGACAGCTAGAAAAGATGACAAAGGAAGGTGGACAAATCACGTGCTCACTTTGCAAGCAACCTGGACACAACAAGAGGGGATGCCCCAAAAGGCCATCTGAACGTGAAGTAAGTTAATTACTTACACCTGCTTTATTATCAACAAATGATAATATAATGACATTTTTTTTTCCATACTCAATAGGGAGCATCAGCAAGCACTCACCAGCCAATACCAAGAAAACCTTCAACTTGTGGATATTGTAAACAGCCTGGTCACACCAGGACAACATGCACTGCTAGATATTTTGTTGATGAAAATGTAAGTTTATTGAGTGGTAATTGCTTAGGATCTATAATTTCCTATTAATAGTGCTATATTGCTAATTATATGTGTCTATTCTTGTTGCTGTTTTTTTATCCTGCAGTTTGGTCAATCTGATGGACTAGGAAGAAAGAAGAAGCACATATTTGGTGAATACATTAATTCACCAGAATTGAACCCTGTGAGTTTAAGCTTAACATTCAACTAAGAGTGTGAATTGTGTTGATCATTTATTTTCTAATACTATAATTTAATTTATGCAGCAAGGTCTGCAAGGGGAGACTGCTATGAGACATACCCATCCTAGTCAATTTCATAAGGCACAGGCACCTCGGAAATCAGCCAAGAAGAAGGGATCAAGTGAAGCTTGAGGAATGGTTCTTTTCTTTTTTTCTTTTTTTTTGGTTTGATTCATGGGAGTAAAGAACTTTGGTTTAAGGTTGCAGAAGGTGTTTTCTGTAGGTAATATGTAAATGCAGTAAATGCATGGAAACAAAGTGGCTCACATGCTCTTGTATCTACTTTGGTAGGATCTGTATTTGGCAAGAATATGTAGCATTTTTTGATTTTGAATTTTTGGAGTATGGGATGAAATTCTGGGGAAATGGTGGATATCTTTGTCTCTTGACAGCTTTTGTGCAATCCTAACAAGATAATTGTGTAAATGTAACCCTTTTGGCTTATATTTCCTTATTTTTGTACCTTTTATGGTTGTTCATATTGTTAATATTAATAGCACAAATATCTACATATTACAAAAATAAGGTAACAATTATGGAGAAGTTAATTTATATTCATTATATCCAAAATAAATTACAAAGTTTGGGGAGAAATGAGGCCCCATATTAGAATTATTGGGGGCAGTATCTACAAACCTTCAACACTACCATTCAAGACAACCACATTGCCCACCAAAAAACAGATAATGCCCAAAAAACAAAACTATCCCTATTTGCCTAGTTTCTTAATTTCCAAGCCTTTTGAAACCCTTGTTCCCATCAACAAGTAGAACCCAACTCCTAAACAAGAAAAAAGCAAGTAGAAGAGCAAGGAAAACAGCCACGACCAAAGATATTTGACCACATTTCTTCCATTTCTCTAGTTTCGCAGCATACACCATTGTCATTGTTGCCAACATCTGCAAATCATTAACTTTCTTCTCCAATGCCTCAATCTGTTGCTCTCCTTTTTCTTCATAACGCTTCAAAACATTCCTAAGAGCTTTGATCCTTTCCCTTGCATCATCCAAATCAGTTTCCAATTCTATCTTATTGTTGTGCAGCCACGAGATAACCTCCTCAGCCCTAAAAGAGAAATCTTGATCATACCACACAAAAAACTTACACTGTCGCTCTTTATTCTGCAAATGTCCAAAAATCACATTTCATTAACAATTAATCAAAACCCAATCTTTATACCAAGCAAAACCCTAAACATTACCACACAATACCTGTGAAATATCTTAACAAAAAAACCCCTAAACAACACACTAGTTTAAAATCAAACATTAGGGAAGAAATTACCATGGGATCATAGATTGGGCATCCAAACAACCTTCGACCATGATTCTTTTCGCTCCAAGACATGATCCTCGGAGCCTTCAAACCACAAAAGCAAAACTGACTTGGCCCCTCGTAATCATACTCCTGTCTTCCAAATTCCACCGGTGCTGAAGTGTGAGAGCTGCTAGAGCTAGGCATTGAACAAGTAAATGAAATGGGCATGAATCTGAAGATCAGAGAAGAGAAGGAAACTCGAAACTCTTTGTGCCCTAGGGATCATTTAAATAGATTTCTTTGCATTCATCTGTCTTTTTCTCTTTTTTTTTCAAACCTTTAGTCAGCAGTGGGACCCACAAAAAAATTGGCAGCAGGTAAACTTCCCGCTCGTGGGGTTCCAAGTTGGCATGCCAGGTTGTCAAAAAATTCTGAGTTGGCACTGACATGCGCATACTTGACGAAAGCCAACGGTGCACGTGCTACACGTGACGTTCCGACGTTAAATTTTGCCTCATTTCCTCAACTCGAAAACATTGAGGGTAAAAATCCATGTATTGTAATATGGAGGGCAAAAACCCTAAGAGTCGAAAAGTTCAGGGGCAAAATGGTACCTTTTGCCGCTTCCTTTTGATAAATCAAGAGATTCTTTCCAGGGTCCAGAGTGCAAGTTTGCACAGAAGATGGCAACGAGCAGCAGAGAAAGCCGTCGGAGGA